TGCATTGGGGAATTGCAGTCAATGTCATGAGACAAAATGCGTATGAACTGCTGTATGGAAAATGAATTTGCTCGGTAAACTTTCACTCAGATCATAATAAAAAATTTTAAAAAAGTTAAAGTCACATTGCAAGTAAGATTTTGCTGAAGGTAATTCAAAAATGGTTGTAGTAGTACATAGACAGAAATTCAAACCAGATTCTGAAAAGAATGTGAAATGAAGTAAATCATTGCTAATGAGTGATAGATCTTGGCTGAAACAAAGAATACCAAGAATGCACTTTACCTGCATTTTATTGGCTGTGCAAAGACATTTGACTGTGTGAATGATAACAAATTATGGATAACATTGCAAAGAATGGAACTTCCAGAACACTTAATTGTGCTCGTGAGGAACCTGTACATAGACCAAGTGGCAGTCATTTGTATGGAACAAGGGGATTCTGCATGGTTTAAAACCAGGAAGGATGTGTGTCAGGGTTATATCCTTTCACCATACTTATTCAGTCTTTGGGCTGAGCAAATAATACAAGAAAGTGAACTATATGAAGAAGTCAGGATTGAAGGAAGACTCACTAACAACTTGTAATATGCAGATGACACAACCTTGTTTGCTGAAAGCCAAGAAGACTGGAAGCAATGACTGATGAAGATCAAAGACTACAGCCTTCAGTATGGATTACATCTCAACATTAAAAAAAAAAAAAAAAAAAATCGTCACAGATGTACCAATAAGCAGCATCATGATAAACAGAGACATGACTGAAGTTGTCAAGGATTTAATTTTACTTGAATCCACAATCAATGCCCATGGAAGCAGCAGTCAGGAAATCCAGCAATGTATTGTATTGGGAAAATCTGTTGCAAAAGACCTCTTTACAATGTTAAAGAGCAAAGATGTCATTTTGAGGACTGAGGTGCTCTGAATCAAGCCACGGTATTTTCAGTGGCCACAAATGAATGGGAAAGCTGGACAATGAATAAGGAACACCAAAGAAGAATTGATTTATAGAATTTTATATCATTATACTTTCTCTCAGTCAATTATAGTTTGTTTGTTTTTTAATCATAGCCCTTCTATTCTCTTGTTCATTTCCCCAAAAAAATCAGGCATATGATTGATTTCAATATTCTCAGATATGACAAAAATACACCAAGGACTGCCAGAAGAACAAACAAATCTGTCTTGGAAGAAGTACAGCTGGAATGTTCTTTGATCACATTATCAGGAGGGACCAGTCAGTCTCTTGAGAAGGGTATCATGCTTGGTAAAGGAGACGGTCAGTGAAAAAGAGGAAGGTCTTCAATGAGATGGTTTGACACAGTGGCTGCAACAATGTGCTCAAAGCATAGAAACAATTGTGAGGAGGGCACAGGACCAGGCATTGTTTCCTTCTGCTGTACGTAGGGTCACTACAAGTTGCAGCCTACATGATGGCACCTAAAACAACAAGCACTTTGCTTGCTTCCAACTCAAACTTTACCTCTCTTCTGAAGAACAGCTTATTTCCTGTCCTTCTGAACCTAGTGAAAATTTTTTATTTTGTTATTGAGAATATACACAGCAGAACATACACCAATTCAATAGTGTCTACATGTATGGATTCAGTGACATTGAATTCATTCTCTGAGTTGAGCAATCACTCTCACTCTCATTTTTTGAGTTGTTCCTCCCTCCATAAACATAAACTCACTGCTCCCTAAGGTTCCTTTCTAGTCTTCTGAGTTGTTGTTGTTAATTTGACCCCATATGCATAGATTTAACTTAAAAGGGCATATAGTTCTCAAGGCAGACATTCTTTACTAGTTAAGCTAAACTATTTTTTTTTTTTAAGAAGACTTCAGTGGATATTTTTGGTTTAAGATTTAAAGATTATCTCAGGGCAATAGTTTCAGGAGTTCATCTACCTCCATGGCTCCAGAAAGTCTGAAATGTATGAAAATTTGAAATTCTGTTCTGCACTTTACCCATTTGTATCAGTATTCTTCTGTAGGATCTTTGATCAAAATTGTCAGTAATGGTAGCTTAGCACCATTTATTTCTTCTGGTCTCATGGCAAAGGTTCATGTAGACAGTTAGCCCTGTAGTCCAGTTCCTTCTCTGATCCTTAGATTATTTTCTTTCTCAGTAATTTTTAATAGTACCTAAATAAAAACATGGGAGCTCTGGTGGTGTAGTGCCTAAGGCATTTGACTGCTAACCAGAAGGTTGGAGGTTCCAGCCCACCAGCTATTCCTCAGAAGGAAGGTTGGGCAATCTACTTCTATGACTACTGCTGCCTCGGAACTCTAAGTCGGTTTGGTTTTAAATAAAAACAACTCTATGAATATTTTATATCATTATACTTTCTCTCAGTCAATTCTAGTGCATTTGTTTTTTCATCACACCCCTTCTATTCTCTTGTTCCTTTCCCCAAAAATATCAGGCATATGATTGGTTTCAATATTCTCAGATATGACAAACATCCTTTAAAATAGTCTTGCTTACTGAAAAGGCACCTTCAATGATTTTTACCATAAGACTTTAATTATCTGACCCAGCCTACATGTCCCTCCAAAGGGAGCTAGTTACATAAACTCTGGTATATATAATTCAGTGGAATATTGTGCAGTCATAAAAAGAATGATCTATACTGATATGGAATCGTCTGCAGATTGTATTTTTTAAGAGGGTAAAAAAGGCAAGGTACAGAAAATGTGTATACTGTGACTTATGTTAAGAGAACAGAAGAACATGTGTGTGTCCATATTTACACGTGCATAAAATATCTTTGCAGAGATACACAAGACACTGATAACATTTGTTGCCTCTCAGGAAGAAAACTGAGCAGATGTGGAACAAGAATGAGAGGACAGCTCTTCAGTTTATAATACCTTTTTGTGTCACTTGATTTTTGAACCAAGAAAATGTATTACTTATTCAATAAAATTAATGTTTATATACATCAATAATAGACTCAGTTTCAAAACCAAAACAATCATCTAGAGTAGTGTTGTATAATACAACCTCCTATGATGAAAGAAATGTTCTGTATCTGTCTTGTCTAATACAGTAGTTAGCCACTTGTAGCTCATGACCATTTGCAAGGTGATCTGAGAAATAGAATTTTTAATGTTATTTCATGTAAATTAGTTTAAATTTACATAGCCTCCACATGGAGATACTAGTTATCATATTAAGTGGATGATGCAGACCCAGAGTAAATGGTTTAGAGTATCTCTTCTATTTAGAACTGACTCATGTTTGATATATATTAGAAGCAATAATTACTAATTTAAGCTTTTAGAGTAAAATTTATTACCCTAAAATCCAAGAAAATATCAAAATTTTCTTATTACCTTAGAATTTAATGCCACCACAAAGTTTCTGTAATAATTTTTAAGGGAACCTATGTCTTTTTGTACCCTTACTTGGAATCAGCCTGTTTTTGAGAGATTGAAATACTTATCTTTAATACAATCCTTATTGGTGTGTCCTCTCCCAGTTTAAAGCACCAGGCAAGCACTTTGTTGCCAAGCCCAGCAGCTGTTTTAAGACTAGGGGAACAGTTTACATTCCTAGCCAGCTGCCTGCTGCGTTTCTAATCTGATTTTGGCACGACATACTGCCCAAGTGGAAGCCAAGTTAAAAGAAGCTCAAAAAATAAAAAGAATGACTTTGGATTCCATTTAATATAGTCTGTCTTTGTGCTGAAGATTGCCCTAGTAATCTGTTAACATGGCTGGACTATGAGTCCTTCCAGGGCTGGCCTGTATCCGTTCTTCTGTGAAAGCTCAGGTCTAGCAAAGGGTCTGGAATATGACAGAACAAGATCATTGTAAGTATTAGTATTAAATGAATGACTGCACTGAAAATTTGTTTAATTGATTTAGTTACTAGCTTAAATAGTTGTTCATGTAGAAAATTCTAATAGATAATTAATGGTGATAGATACCTCCTCCCTTCTCCTTTATACTCAGTACACATTATTACCCATCCCCCCCTGCACTTAAGTAAGATATTTTGAACATTCTCTATGCTTTATTTATTCATCCTTTCTGCAAACAAGCTGATTTTTGTTGTATGTAGGAAATACCAGTACCAGATAGCATGGAATCAACTCCAACTCATGGCAACTCTATGTGTATCACTCCATAGTGTTTTCAATGGCTGCTTTTTCAGAAGGATTACTAGGTCTTTCTTCTTAAGTGCCTGTGAATGGACTTGAACCTCCAATCTTTTGGTTAGTAGTTGAGTACATTAACTATTTGTCATGGAACTCTGCAGGGAATAAATAAGCACATCCTAATATAGCCTCTATCTTTCCTATAAACTAAAAGATGTTCAGAAGATGAAGGTATAGGTGTAAACTTGGTACTTTTAAACTAACAACAAAAATTCCTCCTGTTGGAACATCAAATAAGTGAGCTTGCATCTCTGATGAAGATATTTTACTAAAATTTCACCTTTCTCTGGAAGGTCTGAGAAGCCCCTGCCACTTGGACACTCCAGAATGCATATGGTGTTGGGTGTTTCCCACAGGGAGTCTGGCTCTAGGGGTCCTGTGCTCAACAGTGTTTGGTTTCTTTGCAGACCTTCACAGCCTGGTGTAACTCCCACCTCCGAAAGGCTGGCACTCAAATCGAGAACATCGAGGAAGACTTCAGGAATGGCCTTAAGCTCATGCTACTTTTGGAAGTCATCTCAGGTTGGTAGTAAGACATTTTTCAGAGGTCCTATACCCCAGTCCTATACTTATCTGTGTAAACAGTAGACATGCATCTTTTTAAAGATGACTGCCCAAAAGTTCCCTTTCCACCTGGCCGGGCAAGAACATGGCATTATTGGCAAAGAAAATCTTTCTGAAGAGCAGTCTGTCTGGAGTTATTTTTCTGTTCTAAAAAAAAAAAAAAGAATTCTGTTTCAAATTGACTTAGATACTTTTTATATGACACACCTTGACAGAAAATAAGAGAAGAAAATATGACTATTTACCATAGTTGCCTTCTCCGCTCTTAGTCCAGTTTGTTTGTGTGTATCCCAGAAATCATCTCACATCCAAAAAGCCAGTGTATATTTTAGCATAACTCTGAAAACATGAGTTAGAACCCCAGTGGGGTTATGTTTTGCCCTGAATTTCCCTTGGCTGGATTAGTCCTTAGGCTAGAGAACAGATCACACTTGAAGAAGTGTGTCTAGGAATGCTTCTGGCCAGTCTCCCTGATGCATATATCTTCATAACCAAGTGTCTTAGATGAGCCCTGGCAGCCGCTGTGACTTGAACTAGGTTCTCCTGGCTTCTTGTAGCAGCTAGCCAACAGCTCCGATTGCTCCAGGAACACTGAGCAGTTTCTTTCTTTACTCCTTTGTAAATTGCCTCATGGTCCCAACCAGCCTCTCCCAGTGCACCTGAAATGCCTTAATAGTGTGGCTTCCCACTGGCCTATTGGACCCTGAAAGGTTTGTTTTTTTTTTTTTTTAAATCAGAGTTTCCTCTGGGTTGCTTGTAGAGAAACCAGGAACATATCTACTGTTTCAAGAAAGCACAATCTCTGAGTTTTGGTGTCTTGATCCTATATCAAAGTTCATTTTCTCTATGTCTACACCATTCTTTTTTTCATCTGACAGGTGAAAGGCTGCCCAAACCTGACCGAGGAAAAATGCGATTCCACAAAATTGCTAATGTCAACAAGGCCTTGGATTACATAGCCAGCAAAGGCGTGAAACTGGTATCCATCGGGGCTGAAGGTAAATGAGGGATTGATGTGTGTGGTCCAGCTGCTGTACTGACCTCACAGTGGTGTGCAGCCTCAATCCCAATTTGTCCTTCCCTCCCCTCTTCCCAGGAACATTTGCTATCTCCACTTTGAGCCAGGTTCTCTGATAGGCCCACATTAGACATATAGAGATGAGAGCAAATGGTATCATAAATGAGAGACCAAGCACTAGGCTTATTTGTATTATGCTATCTTGTTCACACTGAATACAAGAACCAGACAGAACTTAATGAGAACTAATTAACAGGAAGGAAGTGGCCTCTTGATTCTCTGTAGGAGTTTAGGAAACACAGCCATGTTGGTAGGAGTTGGCACTGTCCTGCATCTCATTGTGCACAACTGACTCCTGCATGATTACTACTTGGGAGGCTGTCAGAGGACTAGGGTAAAGAAGACATTGTGCTTGGCTTGGATTGTTTTAAACTTTGACTCTTGTAGTCACAAAGCTTTGGAAACTCCTTGGTTGTTTTTAGTGATAACACATATGCAAGATTTGTGCTTATTACTAGCTTAAAATTCATTTAAACTTGAAACATTTGGTCATGAGTACTGTATTTATAACTAGACACACTGCAATGCTCATAACAATATAAACTGATCTTTCTGTATGTATGATTTTAATAGCTCTGAAATCAAACTGACACAGAAGAAAAACTAATGTCTTTACATTAATTTCTTGTTATTTTTCTTACCTAAAGAAATTGTTGATGGCAACGTGAAAATGACCCTGGGTATGATCTGGACCATCATCCTTCGCTTTGCTATTCAGGATATTTCAGTTGAAGGTAAATGACTGATTCAGGTTAAATCAGGTAAAAAGCTGATTCCGATATTTGGAGCAATTTATAAATTGAACTTATAAATTAAAAATTTGAAAAGGGTATTATGAAATTGAACAGTCATTTACATGTTTGAGTGAAATATATGTGGGTTGGGTTTTTATAAGTTTAATATTTATATGAGGAAGACCCTGGCAATTTCATTCTTTGAAGTGGAATCATTTTGGGAAGAATGAGCACATGTACAGAATAGAAGTAGCATTTTTAAATTAGCATTTATTGAGCTTCTTTAATGCTTATTATACTGTTAAGTTCATAATTATCATAAATAATAGACAGAACTCTTTAGCTTACAGCTGAACTACACCAACTCCTTCATGTGGGTGCAAAAAAAAAAAACCTATTAAAATCCAAGCTCTTTTGTATTTTATTTTTAACAAAATCTCCGTTGTCATTGTGTCTTTCTGCCTAACAACTGTTCCCATCATTGTAACAGAATCTTAATCTTTGGCACTACCACTAAAGATAAAAATCTTTAGTCTTTTACTCCCACTGCATTACCAAATATTTTGATGAAATAAGCACAGTTGAAAAGTGTCAAATTGACATTCTTAAAATTAGAGCTTTGCCTTTTTAGCTCCCAAATTACAAAATATAAAGCTGCAGGATATATTTAAGGGCAGCCTGAATTGTTTAATTAGCCCCAGTTTTGTGACTACATACCTGAGCTGATGTAGAATGAGGTGTTGTTTATAGTTATGCCCAAGCTGGAGTACTCTCTTGACTCTGGCCTTTTAAGTGACTTTTAGTTCCTGATCAGTCAGCACACACTAGGCACCTACAATTTGCCTAACATTGCACCAGGTAAAATGAAACCTGCATACTTGCACTTTATGGATGTACAATCTAGTTAGATATTTCCCATCTAGCACTAGGGGCCACATTCTGTCATCTGAAGTCAAACTAAAATATAATGATGTCAAAGCCTCAATTATGCAGGCTCAAAAATTATAGCCAGCTTGAATTAGTAAATAGCCTGAATTTTCAAACTTCAAACATAAAGTGTAATAATTTTATCATTTTTTATTTATTTCTAAATTTAAATATTTAAACAATGGAACTCTCTATAAAGAAGAAATACTATTTTTGAAAGTCCTGTTCACAGTATTGCATCAGCTGGAGTACCGAATCTCTTTTCCACAAGGTGAACTTGACCTCAAAAGCAGCACTTTTTTTTCTGGTCAACACCAGGTGATGGTGTTTTTTAATTTTCAAAACTCAAGTGGCCAGACTTGAAATTTATCGAGCAAGTCTTTAAATATTGTAAATTATTGGTAAAGGGATAATTTTGAGGACATAGTGTTGTTGTTGTTGGTAGGTGCTGTTGCATCAGCTCCAAATCATAGCAACCCTTGTACAACAGAACAAAACACTGCTTGTTCCTGTGCCTGCTATACCTGAGCTCATCATTGCAGCCACTGTGTCAACCCATCTCATTGAGGGCCTTCCACTTTTTTGTTGACCTTCCACTTTACCAAGCATTATATCCTTCTTCAGGGAATGGTCCCTTCTGACAGCATGACCAAAGTAGCTGGCCATTCTCGCTTGCAAGGAGTATTCTGGCTGTCCTTCTTCCAGGACAGATTTGTTAGTTCTTTCAGCAGTCCATGGTACTTTCACTATTCTTTGCCAGCACCACACTCAAAAGCATCAATTCTTCTTTGATCTTCCTTATTCATTGTCCACCTCTCACATGCATATGAGATGATTGAAAATGCCATGGCTTGGAAATAAGTGCATGTTAGCCTTCAGAGAGACATCTTTGCTCTTCAGCATTTTCAAGAGATCATTTCCTTTCATGATACTTGGGCAGCAGATTTGCCCAGGACAATACATCTTTTGATGCCTTGACTGCTGCTGATTCCATTGGTGTTGATTGTGGAACCAAGTTATATTAAATCTTTGACAACTTCAGTCTTTTCTCCATTTATCATGATGCTGCTTATTGGTCCAGTTGTTAGGATTTTCGTTTTCTTTATTTTGAGATGCAATCCATACTGTAGATTGTAGTCTTTAATCTTCATCAGTAAGTGCTTCAAGTCATCTTCACTTTCAGTAAGCAAAGTTGTGTCATCCACATATTGCAGGTTGTTATTGAGTCTTCCTCCAATCTTGATGCTGCATTCTTCTTCATATAGTCCAGCTTCTCGGATTATTTGCTCTGCATACAGATTGAATAAGTATGGTGAAAGGATACAACCCTGATGCATGCCATTCCTGATTTTAAACCATGCAGTATACCTTTGTTCTATTGGAACAACAGCCTGCTGGTCTATGTACAGATTCCTCATGAGAACAATGAAATGTTCTGAAATCATAGTTTATTATGATCCACACAATTGAATACTTTTGCATAGTCAGTAGAACACAAGTAAACATCTTTCTGGTATTCTTTGCTTTCAGCCAAGATCGATCTGATAACAGCAATGATATCCCTCATTCTGCATCCTCATTCTACATTGTACTGCAGGATAGATCTTGAAATATTCCTTGTGACGCTGAATGCCAATCCATTCCTTTTCAATTTGTCATTCCTGGCATAGTAGATCATATGGTGATCTGATTCAAAATAGCCAAAACCAGTCCATTTCAGCTCACTAATGCCCAGGATATGGATCTTTATACATTCCATTTCATTTTTGACAACTTCCAACATTCCGTGTTCCAATTATTAATGGATGTTTGCAGCTGTTTCTTCTCATTTTGAGTCATGCCACATCAGCAAATGGAGCTTTACTCCATCCATGTCATCCAGGTTGACTGTACTTTAAGAAAGCAGATCTTCCCCAGTAGTATTTTGAGCACTTATATTGGACAATTTTTCAGGCTATTCATAAAGTTTTCCAGTAATATATGAGACAGTGTTTCACTGCTATTTATAAGGTTTTCACTGGTCAATTCTTTGACAAGTGGATGGTTTCGTCCTTCTTCTGAGCCTATCTTAGTCTGGAAGCTCCACTGAAACGTGTCCACCATGGGTGACCCTGCTGGTATTTGAAATACCAGTGGCATAGTCTCCAGCCTCACAGCAACACGCAAGCCACCATAGTGTGACAAACTGACAGACGAGTGGTGGGAGGACATAGTAGCCTCTGTGAATTCCATGATCCTAGATGTACATAATATGTGAGATGTGGTTAGTAAGGTTATAAACCATATGCATTTTTTTATTTCCGTAAAAAGATGTAAATTATCCCTTTAATACCCCCAAAATCTGGTATCATTAGTTTATATGTTGTAATTTGCAGTTGTTCCTACATTGTCTGAAATGTCAGGAGAGGTCAGTCCCTGGAGTCCAACTCCATGGTGTGCTGGAGGCTGTGAGAAGAGGTGACAGGTGTGGTGCATAGCCACCACTGATGATGTCTCTTCAGGAGGGGGCAAGGTATTGTGTGAGCTCTGGACCCTTTTTCTTGGCTTTCATTCCAGAAACCTCTGCCAAAGAAGGTCTGCTGCTTTGGTGTCAAAGGAAAACGGCTCCTTACAGAAATGTGAACATACAGAACTTCCACACGAGGTAAGTATACGCAGCCAGAGTCCTTAGGATGCTCACAATCTCACTGGAATCCACACAGGTGCTAGGGAACACAATGTTTATTTACATACATGTTTTTCTTCTTCTTCTGTATGTAGGAGACTTAAGGCTATAGAATTTTGATGCTTATGATCTTTCACAGGAAAAAGTTTGATGAAGGTTTAGGTTTCTGGAAGGGCACCACTGTATTTGTACAGCAATATTATGCAGTGCAAGTGGTTCATCAGAATTTTGGGGTATAAGAATGCACCTTGCTTTGGCCTTCCACTGGTGTTAGTAGAAAAACCAGTTGCCATTGAGTCAGCTCTGACTCATCGTGACCCCATGTGTGTCAGAGTAGAACTGTGCTCCACCAGGTTTACCGTGGCTTGTTTTTCAGTAGATTATCAGACCTTTCTTCCAAGGGTCTCTGGGTGGACTCAGAACCTCCAACCTTTCAGTTAGCAGCCAAAAACATTAACCATTTGTTCCATGTTAGGAGAAGGCAGGAATAGCTGTTGCTCCTCAGGGACAAGATGAGCAGACCCGAACAGAGTCTACTGCACCTGCACACTCACCACACCCTGGTCCTTCTGCCTCTGCAGCAGGTTGCAACACAAAGATACTTGATCAGTCAGCTTTGCTGTGATGGACCTCAAGAGAAATAGAAAAATCATGTTTGGAAAAGAGAGGAAACTGGATGAATGAAAACCAAACATGACAGCATGACTTTTTTCTTTTTTATCAGTCTTATTTCTCATACAGATACTTTCTCATTATATGTAAGTAGAAGAGTTGATTATATTTTCACCTTCTGGTTAGTGGGTTACCCATGAATATAAACAGGCCCTTGGGCAACTGTGGATAATCAGAAAAATGAAGAGTGAGAATGAGCCACAGGAAAAATCAGGGAAGCTCTTCTAGTTGGAGAAAATTACTAGCATTTACAAAATTTAGGAACTGAGCTCAGCCTTGAAAGTGCAGAGGGGATAAGGGAGTTTTCCTTGTCCCTATGGCACTATCTGGTGGATGGGAGGAGACATGAAGAGCTGAGATCTTCTGCCAATATAAACGTGGAGGTCTCAGACTTGCTTCCCATGCACTTTCTTGCTTTTCTTCCTCTGGCTCAAGATTGGACCAACAGTGTATGTAGCCTTCAACAGTATAGCTCCCACCAGGGTTTCCTTTAGGAGCTCAGGTAGCATAGTGCCTAAGGCACTTGACTGCTAACCAGAAGGCTGGTGGTTCAAACCCACCAGCCACTCCTTGGAAGGAAGGTTGGGCAATCTACTTCCATAGTGATACCAGTGATACTGCCTTGGAAATCCAAGGAGGGGTCACTATGAGTTGGGTCCGACTTGATGGCACATAACAACAACAACAACATGGTTTCCTCTGAGGAGCAGAACTTATAATTTCCCTGAACCTGCTGATCTTTACCAGCAAGTTCATAGCCTGATGTTGCCTAAAGAATGTTTAGTTCTGTTGTCTGTAGGAAAATGAACTGGAAATCAAAATATCCCTCCTAACTGTGTTTCTTCTCTCTAGTCCTTTGGGTACCTATTTGTCTTTGCCTTTGTTTTATGTTTTTTTTTTTTTTTTTAAATAAACAACCTCCAAAGAAAGACAGAGGAATACGTGGGAGCTAATGGTTGCTTTTTAAGTAAACTAAGAATTCTTGTAAGTCTGTCCTGGACTTTCTAGGGCAAAAGTTCTTATGTATGTTTATTGGGTATACTCTGGAGTAAGGAATAGAATGGAGATTTGCAGAAGTGTCAAGGGGGAAATCTGGGCCTGGAAGGGCAGTGTCAAAAGAGATTGTCAAGTAGCACCTTTCCTCCTGTTGCCACCAGTTCTCCTCTCACAGAATGGATGTGGGCAGTTCACGGGGATGGGCCCCAGTTAGGGTGGGAAGAGAGGAAAAAGGGATGAAAGTACTTACAGGCCCAGCAAAGAAGAGGGATACTCCGGAGGCAGCAAGGACACTGCCTGGCGCATTAAGTCAGACAGAAGTAAGGTAGAGACTACTTATTCTAAATTTTTGACAAGCATCTGACCAAAAGCAGAACCTTGACAATATTTTACCTTTATTAATGTGTGTTCCTATTCTTTTCGATGGCTGTGAAGCTGGAAAGATGGCCTTGGACTCTGTGCACTTATCCACAGACACCGACCTGACCTCATTGACTACTCAAAGCTTAATAAGGTCATTCTGGGTGGCCAGCATGCCTGGTCTTGGCTTGGGCACCTCCGCATGTTTTCTTGAATGAGCACATCAGCACTCAACAAACACCAAAAACTCCAGAAAAAGTCACTGGGAATATGTGTCTTCTCCTCAGTAGCTTTTCACAGAATGAAAAGTATGAGAGGTAGCCCGGAAAACATTTCTCTCTTACAGTTAGGGCAAGGACAAGACCTAAAAGCCATATAACCCATTTTGGTAAAATTAAGACATGTTTGTTGATTTGGCTTGATTTAATGTGAAGGCTTTATGTTTTTCTTAGAGATTTTCTATTCCTGGACTGTAGATATGAAAAAGGAAGTATGCATTTTGAGGGAAAGAAAGTTTCAAAAAGTCCAAGCCTTTTTTTTTTTTTTTTTCAATTTCCCTTCATCTTTTCTGGAGTATTTAGTTACGGACATATTTACTCAGAATTGATTGTTTCTCACAGAAGGGACACTTAACAAGTATCTCACTATTGATTTAAGACATTAGTTGAAGCCTTAGAAAAGATGTTTACTTTTTTTTTCAGAAAATTCAACTCAGAAGGTTTTAGTTCTCCCTTAAATCTTGAGCCTTAATATGCTTAAGTCTCAAATACATGTTTGAATTCTCTCTTTAAAAGTATTTTTTAAGTATCATCTGTGATGGAAAAAGAAATAAGTGCCCCTTATGAATCTTGTGGTAGGTGATTCATTTGTTGCCTTAGAAGTAAAGACACTTAAAGATTTAAAGCTGAAGCATTGCTTGGCTGGTAAACGTTCGTAAAGAGGTCCTTACGTCATGTTTCCTCTGGTTGCTGCTGTGCTTAACTAGGTGTTCATGTTGTATTTCTATGTTTGGCATGGCATCTGGTCCTGCTGCATGCTGGCCCTCACCTCTGTGCTGTGACTGGTTACTGGAAGAGTGTCCTGACTTCTGCTACCTTTTAAATGGTCACTTGCCCACCACCCCTCTCTTGGCCTGTCTCCATGACTACAGTGTACAAAGAATTTACTCTGTTTCTGAAGATTAATATTGCAGTACTCTAATATTGTATAAGAGGAACAAGCAGCCAGAGTTCATTAGCTTTTCAATGTGTGTATTATCTTATCCACTGAGTTATTTTGAAATGTTTCAACATTCGACAATGTATATTTTTATTCCAATTACCAGAAGCTTTACCTTATTTGCAAAATTAATGGGATTGTATTGATAAACCTAGTTTCATTAGCAGTTTATAATGGACAGTTTTTATTAGGAAAAGGTCTGTAGACCTATGGTGATGGGCCCTCTAAGATGGGTGAGGAAATGATCATCACAATAGCAGCTAACACTGTATCTTTCAGGCACTGTATCAATCGGGCACTATTTTAATGTATATGTATATATAAATATATATTCACATATGTAAGTGTATATATAAAATCACACACATACATGCATATGCATCCACTCCTTACAACACACAGTAACCTTATAAAGTAGATACTATTATTATCTCAATTTTACAATTGAAGAAATTGAGACACAGAAAAGTTCAGTAATCTGAAGGTCACACAACCAGTAGCTGAGCCAGAAAATATTTAATTGCCACATTTTATCTCTTTAAGATTTCAGTCTAAATGAGATAGCTTTCATAAAGTCTCATAGTGTCATAATCGTTACTCTGTTTTTAATGCCAAACTCATAAATTAAAAAAGAGAGAGAGCCTTGTATTCAACTATTTGACTTTATAGATAGCTCACAAAATATTCAGGTTAAGATTTGCTTAGTGATAAGGCTGTTTTCAATAAAATGTCTGTTAAAACTACATTTGTTAAAACTACATTTAATTGACAATATATTTTGCCTGAAATAACTGTACTCTGAAAAGGCAGGAAGCTTAATGTGGTTTCTTCACTTAGCACTCTGTGTTTTTAAATCCTACACTTTTCAAGTTTCCCATTATTAAAATGATTGTTGCTCATTGCATAGTATTGCAGAGTTTCTAAAATGTTTAAGTGGTATTAATGCTAAAACTCATTAAATTCATCCCAGGACTAACACTACTTTTCACTTTGATTTTTCTGTCCATCCTGTTTTAGAGTCACAAAAGTTCATTCCCATTAATTGTTAAGTCAAAAAACATTAAAAATGTCAAGTCCTTTAGTTTTTCAGTATTTCAATTGTATACTTAATGTTAAATTTGTTATGTATATATATTTAACCACTTTTATACTGGAAGATGAATATAATCTTCAAATAAAAAATTATTTACAATTTTCACTTGCAATTTTAAGATTTTGAGAATCTCTTCTAATTTTTACTCTAGAAACAGCATTTTTGCTTTTTTGTAGTCACTTTGTAGCAAACATTTTTTGTGACCTAAATGTTTCAATTAGCATATTTCCTTCACTTCTCTACACCTTGAGTTTCTTATATCTCAAATAAAGGTCTTAGATTAAATCATCTTGAAGATCCTCTTCCAGACCTGAAAAATTTTTGTTTTATAATTTCTTGTATAGTACTTTCAATTTTATTACTAATAAGGTTTAAAATAGCTCCAGAATTTCCAGAGTGTTCTTTCTTGTCAATGAGAAAATATTTGACAACTTGCCTCCTATCCTTAAAGCATTAGTATTTTTAAATCTTTTGCTCACATTTATGGACTGCAGTGTGCATGGATTGAGTGGTTTAATGTGATTTTTTTGTGTTTCTTTAAACATTTGAAGTGACTGGGCAAAAATAAGAAGTAAAATTACTTGGGCTATAATGGTTGTGAGGGAAGGGAGGTGTAGAAAGGCCCCCTCCTAAAAGTGAGGCGTGTAAAAATCATTATTCATAAGTCCCATTATATATATATATAAACTGGTTATATATTATTTTTCATGCAGGATGACCCAGTAGGAAATATTAACCTGGCCATGGAAATTGCAGAGAAGCACCTAGATATACCTAAAATGTTGGATGCTGAAGGTGAGATAAAAATTGTGTTTCCTGAACTACATAAGAATTTATAAACTGCGTATTTTATGGCTGCATGTGGGGACTTTGTAAAACTTTGTAGCTGAGTTGGCATTTGAAGTACTTGTGAGTCCTAGCCAGTTTCTATCATTGACCACAGGAGTAGTAGAAAATTTCACGTGTAGCTTGTTACTGAAATAGTTTTTAAAATCATGCTCAAAAACAAGCAAGCAAAACTGTAGTGAGACAATCTGATAAAATACAGCTCTGGCTAAGAACAGAGTGCTTTGGTTAATGATTTTCGAAGAAAGACTTCTTGTTTTTATTTTTTCCACAGTTTAATGTATTTTCCTTACATTATAGCAGATGAATGTCTTTGTGGAGTACTTGAGACTGCACAAGAAAAAAAAAAAAATGTTTCCTTCCAAGTAGATGTTACAGTATTGAAATATAGAGTACAGAATACTTAGCTATTAGTGTACCATCCAGACTTTCATATTGTCTTTTTTAAATAGTCTAAATTTAATTTAATTGTATCTGAAAGAGCTTTTTATATTTTTTACAATTTAGTATCACTCATCCCGGTGACTAGTTTCAAATGCCTCTTATACCCTTTATTAAGTGAAGAATATGAGTGAATTGTGCCTAAGCACGCCATTTAAACCACAGATATATTGAGACCATTCATTCATTTCATTTATTAATAGCTCAGTTGTCACTCAAAAGGCATTTATTGAGTATCTGCTCTGATCAGGACTCTCTGCTAGATACTGCAGGAGATAGTGAGATATAAGAGATAGGGTCCTGACCTCAAGAACTGATTTATCACAATGTTTGTTGTTGTTGTTGTTATTCCCTACAGGCTTATTACGTCTACTAATTAGCAATATTATGGAAAAGCACAGAACCTGAATATAGTCAATAGTCTTTCATTCCTCCTTATTTTTGGCGATCCTTCAATTAGGATTCAAATTTTGCCCATGTATTAATTTAGTCATTTTATTGAACATCTGTATTATTGGTGTTAACATTTGAACACATTATTTAAAATTCTACTTATGGTTTCTCCAAAACTCTTTAAAAGGAAAAAGTCAGAAAATCAAAGAAGAAGCAACATAGAAAATTTTCTTTTCGTCTTTGTTTATCAGTCCTCTCTAAATTAAGATTATGTTTGTGTGGTCCCTCCTTGCCTATCTATATGGTAAATAACCATTCAGAGTTTACTCATTTGAATTAATTGCCAATATAGTAAAGAAAAGAGTAAATAGGTAACATTTAGTAAATTCATTTCCCAGTTCATTAATGCATTCCTGATATCCTAAGATTGACAGTGAGTTTCATATTCAAAAGCTCATTTGATTATTATCAAGTTCATCATCATTTTATTTCTGACATTGCTAACATTCCAGTTGCTAGGCTTTCACTTTGTCTCTGAGTCCTTATCTTGGCATATATCTATTCTCTTCATCCTTTTGCAATTGATGAGATGGGTTAGCATTGTGTTAGTTTCTTCTCCAATAGTAACACATTCTAATCTCCCATTACTTTTCTTCATCTTTTCTTTTGAATCATTCAGAAAAATGTTCACATCATATTATCATCTTTGTATAGTAATTTCTCATAAGAATTACTGGCAAAGGGTTGTAAACTTGACTGACTTGGGAGTGGGCATGTTATGTTATGATATAACTGCACAACAGATTTCTCCGGTTACCCTTTGTGTCTTTCCATTCAGACTTACCATCACCACATCATTACATTTAAAATGTCTTATTTCTGCCGTTCTTTCATTGTAATGTCATGTTCTGTTACCTTCTCAGAGCACTAATCCCTTTTGGTGAGTCTTGGCCTTCCTAACCTGCTGCTATTGACCTTACTTTCTCTGTGTTGATCTCTGAAATCTAAATGGAGATTTTCCAGTGCTAGTTGACCAACTCAACCATTAACTGTTATCTGTAGTAGAAACTGGTGAAAGTCTTCCTCATCTTTACTATCTACCATGTTTTTAAAACATTATGAATATTGTTTCCTATTTTCCTCCACAAGCCTTTTTTGAGGTGAACACTAGGTTTAGTTTGTGGGTGCAATGCTCCACATGGACTTGAAACAGAAATCTTGGTGACCTTGGGTCATTGGTGTATGTTGTTGTTGTTGTTATGTGCCGTCGAGTCGGCCCCGACTCATAGCGACCCCTCCTTGGGTTTCCGAGGCAGTATCACTACGGAAGTAGGATTGCCCAACCTTCCTTCCGAGGAGTGGCTGGTGGGTTTGAACCGCCAGCCGTCTGGTTAGCAGGCAAGTGTCTTAGCCACTATGCTACCAGAGCTCCCCATTGGTGTATATAGTGATAGAAATACCTAGGGATGTACAGTTGTATATTCCCAAGTGCCAGCATTTTGTTGAATTTTAGAAGTCCTGGGGTAGAATTCTCGCCTCCCATGCTGGAAACCCAAGTCTGTTTCCTGGCCAAGGCGCCTCATTAGCAGCCACATCTGTCTGTCCATAGAGGTTTGCTTGTTGCTATGAGGATCTTCCAGACTAAGAGGGACTAGGAAGAAAGGCCTAACAATCTACTTCCAAATCAGCCAATGGATCTTGTAGATCAAAGTGGATCATTGTCTGATCCATAGCTGATTGTTTTGTTATAAATGGAGTTGCCATGAGTTGTGGGCTAACTCAACAACAGCTAGGAATAGCTATTCTCATCATTGATGTAAGTGTCTTCCTAATTCAGGACTCCTTGGGTCTAGCCTTGCCCTTCACTTTGGTAATTCCTTAATTTCCTTTGGCAATTCTCAAAAGTACACAGGAAATAATGACTTTGCAGGTGTGACACCTTTGATTGGAGCAAGATTTTAACAACATAGCTGGAGGAAGGTGATTTATTACTTTGACTTCTCTGCCTTGAAGCAGCACTTAGCAAAAACCTGATTTGTTAGAACATCCAAGCAGTTAACCTTCTTTTCTCCACACAGATTTAGTATACACTGCCAGACCTGATGAAAGAGCCATAATGACTTATGTTTCCTGTTACTATCATGCTTTTGCTGGTGCACAGAAGGTGAGGATGTAAAAGATGAGTCACCTCTCACCCTTCACCTTCTGTGTCTGAGTTTTTTTAAATTTGTTTTTCTCTCCTCTGACTAAGGAAACCTGCCTAGTTCTGAGGAGGCAGTTATTTGTCTTTTTTAGTCTAGTTTGCTTTGAAACTTACCTTCTGTCCATGAAGAGTAAGCTGTTTATGTTTGTTTCTAGAAGATTCCATACTGTTACACAACTTCACATTCTTTCTAAAAATATGCTCTCTCAACCCAATGACTAGATTTCACCTTAGGGAATTACAAGATACTTGTTTAATTTCATTCCATTCTTTGACTGAATAAAGTTTAAGAACAAGATGGAAAAGCAGTACACGAAAATGTGGTATTGCCAAGGTGGAGGAAGAAAGATTGTATGTGTTCACATGGTTCTGTTTTCTCTCTACTTGTTGGTTATTTCAGCAGCAAATAAAAATGGTGGCAACAGTCACAATAAATACACACAAATATACAGGAGAATACACATACCTTTCTATTTAGATGTTTTGTTACTGTTGGCAATTTCTATAGATGGCATGGTAAGTATGTGTAGAGTCCCTGGGAAGTGCAAATGGTTACACATTTGGCTGCTAACCAAAACGATGGCAGTTTGAGGTCACCTAGAGGTCCTTTAGAAGAAAGCCCTAGTAATCTGTTTCTGAAAAATTAGGCATTGAAAACTCTGTAAAGCACTGTTCTACTCTGTATGCATAGATTGTATTAAAAGACATACTTGTCCCAGTGGACTTCATCCTTACACAAACCAGTGCAGTTTGCAGAGCAGAAAGCTGACAAATTACAAGAGTAGGGCCAGAGGAGTGGTAGAAAAGATAAGGCAAGAGACTTCTGCTATTATTCCCAGCATTTTTGCAAAGTAATATACATTCCTCAGAGAAAATGTGGCAGTTGACCTAATATGCTCAAAAGACAAGAGGATATGGGCCTTATGAATGAGTAGGAAGTAGTAACAAGCTCCATATGCTGCAGATGGGTCCCCATATTAATGCATTGAATATACGTTTGAAAACTCATCAACGGGTAAGGGAGAAAACATACTTTCAATTCGGTGATTAAAAAAAACATGCTGGCTCAAATCATCCTGCTCAGCTTCTGGGCCCAGGAAACACACAGAAGTAATCGTGGCAAACCAATTTGTTCTTGCCCTTGTTCACCCTGGTTTCTACTCTTCATCTGTGTGTGTGTTTGTTTTCTGTGTTATTTTTTTCCCTCCCTTCAGACATTGTGAACACCCCCAAACCCGATGAAAGAGCTATCATGACATACGTCTCCTGCTTCTACCATGCTTTTGCGGGAGCAGAGCAGGTATTCAACACTTGTCCATCTGGGTTGCTGTGCTGCTCTTCTGCATTGGTTTTAATTGTGTGTGTGTGCCTGGATGTATGTTTGTGCGCTTCACATCTTACCTTGGACTCTTCTGTTTTATAATTATCTAATAGGGCAAGTTCCAAACTGTGAATACTTTCTTAACAGCTTTAACTTTACATATAATTCCTGAAATGTTTTTTATCTATCGTTCCTTCTAAGATAACTTTTATTTCATTATTAAATAGTGGAAAACCTTTGTGTTACAGGAGGAAAAAAAAAACAAAAAACAGCAATAAAAAAAAAAAGTACCATTGAAATTGAACCATAGTCATTGAGCAGTGAAGGGAGAATTTGACCAGAAGAAATTAATGCCTTTCCAATGTCCTGTTCTTCTCTGCCTGGAAATTGCCTTCACTGTTCACTGCTTTATTCTAACATCTTTAAAGACCAATGTTATTTGAACTGAATGAATGAAAGGTTACCAGCATTCAAGTCTAAAAAAGTACACATTCCTTAAGACAAATAGCCTGAGGGACATTGTAGGGAAATGTCTTACAGATTTTTACATATTCACCTGTTACTGTTTTCTCTAGTGGGGGAAGGCTGATAGACTGGGGTGGACAAATTATGTACTATTTCTGTGATCTCCTTAAGACCGTTACCAGGAAATGATGATACCTGAAAATTGGCCCATATTAGGGCTTTAGAGGTGAGGCTGTGGCCGGAAGCCAAGGTGGGCAAGTTCCTCTTCTTGGTTCATCACACAATCATGGCCTAACTTCCACTCCTGGCCAAGTCCCCTTTCCACAAAAGAAGGGTACAGAATTATTTATTATCTCAGTAACTCCTTATGTAGATTAAATAAACCTTAAAGCTCTGTAGAATGGTTTAAAACAACAACAAAACAACAAACCAGTTGCTGTGAAGTTAATTCTGACTCATGGTGACCCAAAGTAGTACTTGATTACTAACCAAAAAGTTGGTGGTTTGAACTCACCCAGAGACACCTTGGAAGAAAGGCTTCGCAATCTACTTCTGAAATGTCATAGCCATGAAAACCCTGTGGAACAGTTCTACTCTGCACATATAGGGTTGCCTTGAGTGGAAGGATACCATCTAGTCAAGTATTCATTTGAGGAGAAGAAGTAATCTGAAGTGCAATGACATATGTATTCAGAGCCCAATAATTTTTGCCTTGATTTCAGTATGCTAATAGCATTCAGAGCATTTTTTTATTCCATGGCCATGAGATCAGTAGAGTGGTCAGGAAGTCATGCAGGGACCAAAGAGCTTGGTTTCCTTGGCACATGTATCTCTGTTACTAACTTGTTTGATGTTTTATGGAGACTGTGCTTTAAACTAATGGTATCTCCCCATTATTCCCCTATAGTATATTCAGCCTGCCGTGTAAGTCTGTGTGGAAACTGTGAAAAAAAGTGTGAAATGATTCATAGTATAAAGCAGCCATGCTGCCAGTCTGATTACACCCTAAACCCAAGATCTGCACCATTTATAGCACGCCACCTTCCTCTCTATTCCTACTGCCCCTCCCCACACATCCAGTTTTGTGTCTGCATACCCTGTCGACAGAGCTGTCCTGTTTACTTATTGTGTTTTACAGGCCGAGACAGCAGCTAACAGGATATGTAAGGTTCTTGCTGTGAATCAAGAGAATGAGAGGCTGATGGAAGAATATGAGAGGCTAGCAAGTGAGGTAAAGGAAACTGGGGACCTGCAGTCCTCTCCACACTCACCCAGAGGGTGAGGCACGGATGGTGAACACAGAGTTTCAGTGTTTCTTTTGCATTTTTCATCTCCGATAGGAAAAAAAATAGGAAAATTCATTTTGTAAGCCTGAAGGTCTTTCCAACAAGCCCATAGAGAGGGTTTGCATGTTTTCAGATGACAGAATGTGATTCCATTCTCAGCAGGTCCTCCAGGGCTGGACCTCCCTTGAGGACATTGAATTTCTTTTTTTTTTTTTTTCCTGCTTCATTGGCTTTTACATCATGTATGGTGCTCTCCATATCCAGACACTTTTTCCAATATGGACCTGGGACAAATAACTTGTCCACCCTGTGTGAGGATGTGGCTTAGCCACATGTGTATCTAAATATCCAGAGACAGATCTGGCAAAGATAGACCACTCTGCATAGAATATTTGAGTATGCTTCCGTAGGCCAGATTCTCAGTTAGAACAGCACTTTTCAAATTGCTCCTCTTTCTTATACCTATAAGAGCACAAATAGCAGCTCAGCAGTTTTGTCACTACCCTCCATGTTTTTTTCTTGTACAAGTTAGGGCTGAGTGAGGTATAGAGCCAAATCCTTCCTAAATTGTACTTGAGCACAGTAAAATTATTTGAGACCAAATGATTTCTCTCTGACTTAATTTAGCTCCTATTTGGTCTGCACTGGGAAAAGTATCAGAACACTTGTAATCAGTCTTCCCAGAGAGTAATTTATATTAATCTAATCTAGTGAGATTGAGTTTGTATGTTCACACTACTGCTATGGAAAAATTCAATTTGGCTTCATTGTTTTAATAACAGTGATAAACTTAGGGAGTTGAAGCATGACAAAGACCAAAGGATAAATAGTCCTTAATAATTAAATCCTTCCTTGTCTTCTTTGGTCCTATAGTGATGCTCCTTAACCCTTAGACTACAGGTCTACCACCATTTTATTTATTTTTTATTCTATTTCCCGTTCTAATCTTTTGTCATCTTCCAAGTGATCAGTAGGCAAAGTGTAAATGATAAGTGTGTTATCAGTAAGTTTTCTCTAAGGCAGAGGTAGTAATTCAAGAGATTGGGTGGATGCCTCATCCTTAGAAATTCACTGCCATGCTCACTTAATCATGTGGATTTCCTTAAAAGCTAGATGCAAAAATATCCTTTGGCATTAAATCAATCCCAAGTTTACAATACATTTATTTAGTAAATAATTTAGATTTGAGCTTATTTAAAATACAAATACATTTTAATTAAAAGCAGTGATTTGCTTTTTTTATTCCACTACATTTCCACCATGTTAGGTTTTTTGTTTGTTTTTAATTTAAAAATTCCATCTAGTATTTGTCTGCTAATGTCCGCTCCCCAGAGTTTTCTGTAAGTGTCACATTGTAAACCATGACTTGTGCTGACATTCAGTTTTCTACCTGTGTATGATTTCATAGGGGTGATTACTAATGGCTGTGGGTGGAGGCAGAATGGGAATGGTAGTATGAATGCTGTGTCCAGAAACACTGAGGATTCCATCCATGCTATAACATCCACCTTTTAGTAAGGGGTCTTTTAATCACACCTCTGTTTACTTGGGAACATTGAGTACTCCATCCCAAATTGTTAGGTTCCTCTGTTTTCAAATTGGGGCAGTTTGCTGGGAGGTTTCAGTAGTCTTTTTGTGTTTTGGGACCAGCTTTTGGAATGGATTCGCCGCACAATCCCCTGGCTAGAGAATCGTACCCCCGAGAAGACCATGCAAGCCATGCAGAAGAAGCTGGAGGACTTCCGGGACTACCGTCGGAAGCACAAGCCACCGAAGGTGCAGGAGAAGTGCCAGCTGGAAATCAACTTCAACACCCTGCAGACCAAACTGAGGATCAGCAACCGGCCTGCCTTCATGCCCTCTGAGGGCAAGATGGTGTCGGTGAGTGTGAGAGAAGGAAGCCTCCTATCCCCCTAGAAGGGCACTTCTTTCCATAAAGGCTTTTGATGGGCATTGATGAAGATGTTAATTTCTTTAATCTCTGCAGTTACATGGATATAATTTTGGACCAGTAAGCACTTCATTCTTGAGTGATTTTTTCTCCCTAAACCAGTTTTTTTTTGTTGTTTTATTTTTCCCTAATGTTGCTGTCGAATCAACTTTGACTCCTGTGTATAAGAGTAGAACTATGCCCAATATGGTCTTCAGTGAATTTTCAGAAGTAGATCGCCAGGCCTTTCTTTCAAAGTGCCTCTGGATAGATTCAAACCTCCAGCTCGGCGCTTAAACATTTGCAGCACCCAGGGAGTCCTTTTCCCCTACCATCATGCAGTTCTTGACTCCAACTTACCACTCAAAGAGCATCCCTTTAATAAATGCTTTTGCTCTCCTCCTTTTCCTCATGACCTTGCCTCATCTCCCCACCACGCAGTAGCTCTACCAGCATTAGATTATGTACTCTGTCTTCCCTGCTGCTATGGCCTATGCTGTTGACCTTCTCAGGGTCTTAGTCCTACTGATTTATTACACTCATTAGTTTCTTCTTCTCTACAGAATCATTCTCATAAGCATACAAAAGTGCTCTAGAAGCTACCAAACAAACTATAAAAACCTATGAGTCCACATGTCCCTAAAACAATTACTCCATTTCTCTCTGGTGGCATAGTGCCTAACGCACTAAGTCTTGTAGTCAAATAAACTTGAGAAATTCATTTTTTGCTGTCTTCTTTCTTACAAATATCTGATTCATAGTGACCCCTTCTTGGGTTTCCAAGCGGTATCTCTACAGAAGTAGAATGCCCAATCTTCCTCCCAAGGAGTGGCTGGTGGGGTTTCAGCCATCAGCCTTCTGGTTAGCAGTCAGATGTCTTAGGCACTACGCCACTGGATCACCCACCTAAGAAATAGCGTGTAAAAAAATCCATAACTTTTTTTTTTTTTTGTAAACTTAGAATTATCCAAATCATATGAGTACTAATGCTATTTTCTTTTTTAATTTTTTATTGTGATTTAGGTGAAATTTTTCAGAGCAAATTTGTTTTCCATTCAACAGTTCATACACAGTTTGTTCTGTAACATTAATTGAAACCCCCACAGTATAACAACTCTCTTCCCACTTCCTGCCTGTGGTTACCTTTTCCTGGATCCTTCTTTTTGTACCTCTTGTGTACCTCTCCAGGAGCTCTGGTGGTGTAATGCCTAAGGCATCTGACTGCTAACCAGAAGGCTGGAAGTTCAAACCCACCAGCCACTCCTCGGAAGGAAGGTTGGGCAAACTACTTCTATAGTGATACTGCCTCAGAAACCCAAGAAGGTGTCACTATTAGTCGGGTCCGACTTGACAGCAGTGGGATTACTGCAAAACATCTTAAAAGAGTTCTTTATGGTACCAATTTCAGTCCCTTACCTCTCATGCACTTAGTTGATTCTGCAGCCTGCAGTAAGTACTCTGACTTCTGTCCCTTCCCCTGAAACTTTTCCAGTCCAAGCCAGTAGCTTCCATGTTGGCAATCCAGTAGTCACTTGTATTTGCACCTTCCAGGACTCATCAGTAGCTTTTGACTCATCAGTTGGTCATTGCCTCCTTCCTGGCCTTCTTTCTACTCTAGATACTACTGGCTTTCTTTCCATCTCACCCGCAAGTCCTTCTCTGTCTCTTTCGAATGAAGGCTTTACCTCCTTTACAGTCTTTACATGTTGGCAGCTCCTGGACAAGGTACTTAGCTCACTTCTCTATCTTTACTTCCTCCAACTGATCTCATGCAGCCCATGGCTTTCATTACCTCTTGTAATATTAACGTTGCCCAAAGTTTACATCCCCAGCTCTGATTTCTCCCTTGAGCTCCAGGCTCCTTATATCTACTTGAATGTCTCAAAAGCACTTTACACCTAATATCCAAAATAGTCCTGCCACAGTTTTCTCTATCCTAGTAAGTGTCACCACCATTCTAAGTAGCTGAAGTCCAAACCCAAGTGTTATACTTGATCTTTCCCTTTCTGTCAGTTTCTTGCCTCCACCTCCCCAGCAAATCATGTTGCCTCTGCTTCCAGATTATTTCTTAAACCTGTTACGTTTTCTCCACTGCCATCACCCTGTTCTAAGCCACTATTATCTCTCCTTAAAACCAAACCAAATTATGTGCTGTTAAGTCAACTGCAACACGTGTGTGTGTGTCAGAGGCTATGTGTGTCAGAGTAGAACTATGCTTTGTAAGGTTTTCAGTGGCTTATTTTTTGGCAGTAGATCAGCAAGCCTTTTTTCTGAAGAACTTCTGAGTGTACTCAAACCTCCAACCTTTCAGTGAGAGTGAGTGTGTTAACTATTTGTACCACCCAGGGACTCCTTATCTCTTCTTGGATGCTGCAATAACCTTCAGGCTGGCTCTTCTTTCTTTTTCTCTCTTCTTTTGCTCCCTGAAATTCATTTTTCACACAGTAGCCACAGTGCTCTTTTTAAAATGAAAATCAGATGTCTCCTTTCATTTCAGAACCTCCAATGATTTCCCAAAATATTTAGAATAAAACCCAAATTCCTTATTGTTTACTCTTTGTTTTCACTTTAGATCTGACCCACCCCATCTCACTGACCTCAGCTTCTACCCCTCACTCCCTGCACCACAGCCAAGCCAGCCTTCTTTGCTTCTCCCAACACTTCAAGCTTGTCCCTTCTCAGGCTTTCAGTTTGTTCCCTCAGTCTAAGTTCTTGTGCACCTGTTCTTCACATGGCTTGCCTTTTAAGCAGGGAGGTTTCACCAAAAATGTACCTCTTCACAGAGGTCTTCTCTGTAATCTGCCTAAGAGAACCATTTCCATGGTATCACTTAACCCTGCTTTGTTTTTCCTTCACAGCTAAAATTAACTTGTTTGGTTGAGTACTTGTGCATTTTCTTTCTCCCCATAATCCTGAAAGCAGGAAGGGGGGCTTCATATCGTTGTTTCTTGCAGTTTAGTTGGCTCCTAACTCATGGTGACACACAACAGAACAAAATGCTGCCAGGTCCTATGCCATCCCAGTGATCCATTGAGAATCAAATCGAACCTTTGTGATTCATAGATTTTTGATTGGGTGGATTTCGGGAGATTGCCAGGCCTTTCTTCCTAGTCTGTCTTCGTCTGTAAGCACTGCTGAAACCTATTCAGCATCATAGCAACACATAAGCCTCCACTGACAGACAGGGTGGTGGCTGTGTATGAGGTGCATTGGCTGGGTCTCACACATGGAGGGCAAAAATTCTACCACTGAACTACCACAGCCCCCTGGGAGACTTTATAGGTCCTGTTCACTCTTATAAAATTTCTCCAGCATGCCTGGAACATGCTAAACCAAACCAAGCCAAAACAAACCTTGCCATTGATCAGTTCTGCCTCATAGTATCTCACTGGTTAAAGCATTTGGCTGCTAGACAAAAGTTTAACACTTCAAAGCCACAGCCCCTTGGTGGGAGAAAGATGCTTCTGAAAAGATACACAGCTTTGGAAATCCTATGGAGCTGTTCTACTATGTCCTATAGGGTCACCATGAATTGGCACATGCTACATGCCCAGTAAATAGTTGTTAATGACTGAATGGATGGAATTTCTCTCCATTGCTGAGTAAAAATTGTTTTGAATTGATTCAGTTTGAAGCTTCAACTTTCATAGCCAGAAAATTAAAATCCTACAAGTCTATGTTTAATCTGGAGAAGTGTGAATTATTTATTGGCTGATGATACAACTAAAATCCCCCAATGATAATAATACATTTGGACACCAAAATAATTTAATGGTTGGTTGTGGGGAAAAAGAAAACAGCCAGGAAAATACTGTCAAACACGTGGTACTGGATATTAATAAAAGGGAACTGGAGCATAATGAGTATGCCTTCTCTGTCCTCACACTCTCCAGGACATCGCTGGGGCTTGGCAGAGGCTGGAGCAGGCTGAGAAGGGCTATGAGGAATGGCTGCTCAACGAGATACGGAGGCTGGAGCGTGTGGAGCATCTGGCTGAGAAGTTTAGGCAGAAGGCTTCAACACATGAGACTTGGGCATATGGTGAGTAGATGCAACTTAAATTTGGATTTTGAAAAATTAGAGTTGAACTGTGAACAGAAACTCAGGGCCAACTGTTGGCCCTATCCCTAAGTTCTGTGAATGTGTGAGTAGGTATCCTCACTTTTTTCTCCTTTACTGTCTCATTACTAAATTTCTCTAAGATGTGGACAGTTTGTTTTCTGCTTGAGCAGATAATATATTTCTTCACAAAATGGTGCCCAACGTGTTCTTCCCACATCTACCTGTGTAAAGTCTGACCTCCTCCTGTTTTCCCCTCATTCTTTCAATTTGATTCAGCAAGTATCTGATTATTCCCTAAGTGTGGGTCATACAGCCCTGGCCCAGATATAGGCTTCTGCCAATAGAATGCTTATCAAATTCCACAAAGCAACATAATTTCCCACTTAGAAAATCTACTTGGGAAGCAGATTGCAGAAAGACTGCAATGTATCATTTTCTGTAGTCTAGCTTCCTTTTTTCTCTTAGATTCCCCTATTTCTTTCAGGCCATGTTTCCATAGCCTTCATAATATGCTCATAATATTCTTTGGCAATCTACTAGAGTAAATAATGTCGAAGAATATAACATTTTCCTCATCACATAATAATCTATTTTAAGGAAAGGTCAGGGAGGTTTCCCCTTCATCCTTGGTCCCTTTTGCTTTTTGTTTTACTGTTTATATGGCATAGGAAGGTAGTCACAGGGATGGACCCTGGAGCCAGACATGTTTGGAGTCCCAGCTCTGAAACTTAGCTTTAGCTTTGGACAAGTCCCTAACCTCTCTGTGCCTCACAGTCCTCCTCACAATAAGGATAACAGTAATACCTACCTCATAGAGTTTTTATGAAGATTTCAGGAGTTTGTAAAGTATTTAAATCAGCAACTGGCAGGCACATAGTGCTATGTTATGATTGCTAAATATATAATGATTTAATTTCCATTTTTAGCTTTGTGAAACAAATTCTTAAAGGTCACCAGCAAAGATTAAATTTGGGTTCAGTTATAAGGACCACAGCAGTAACTAGATGTAAGAAATATTTATTGGGAAAGAGTGGAAGTTCAGAAAGGAATATTTCTAATATTATCAGGAAAAAAAATGCAGGGTGCATTTAACCACAGAAAATGTCAGTTTCTAATAAAAAGAATTGGGGTTGGGCAGAACCAGTGGGGTGGGCAAATAGAGAACAAATGTTTTATCTATCTACCCCATGTAGCTTTTGTGAGCTAATGGTTACTAATTTAACTCACCATCACACTGGAAAATCAGATACTTCTTGCTTAGAATTACTAATGATACATATTTGTATTTTAGAAAGCACTCAGCATGCTTTTCTACCATTGTTAAACCTGGAGGATCATTGGATATTTGTAACTCACTGCCATGGAGTCAGTTAGACTCATAGTGACCCCTCCTTAGGTTTCCCAGGCAGTATCTGTATGGAAGTAGATTGCCCAATCTTCCTTCCGATGAGTGGCTGGTGGTTTTGAACCGCCAGCCTTCAGGTTAGCAGTCAAGTGCCTTAGGCACTATGCCACCAGAGTTCCCAGATATTTATTAAGCAAACCAAACTCACTGCCCTCGAGTCAGATACGACTCATAGTGACCCCTACTTGGGTTTCCGGAGGAGTATCCCAACAGAAGTAGATTGCCCAATCTCCCTCAGAAGGAAGAGTGGGCAATCAATCTACTTCCATAGTGATATTGCTTAGGTATATGTAAAATGAGCTCAGAATGTAAACGTAATTGGTGCATTGTGAATGGGAGTAACAGCCTGAATTCCAATTGAAATATTTGGCCTCCTTCTTCAATACTGCCAATCTTCTCTCCCTTTTCTCTTGGTTCATTGGCATTTTAATGATAACCAAGAGTTCTGATGATAGGAAGAAGTTACGATGTGAAAGCAGAGTTTTAATACCCTGCTACAATCTTTCCAGGCAAAGAGCAGATCTTGCTGCAGAAGGACTATGAGTCTGCATCCCTGACTGAGGTCCGGGCTTTGTTGCGGAAACACGAGGCATTTGAGAGCGACCTGGCAACCCACCAGGACCGGGTAGAACAGATTGCTGCCATTGCCCAGGAGCTGAAGTATGTTCTATTTCCAGGCATGCAGCTGCTGACATTTAGCTGAGACACTGTTTCCCATGAACCTGACTGGGTTGTAGGTATAGTGTAAGGATGACACAAAGAGCTTCTTGAGATAACCACCACAAGGACAGTGCTTGGAGGCCTGCCTTTCTTTCTCTTGACTAAATTTTGAGTGGACAAAGTTGGAGGCCTTTGTGGTGGAGGTTTCTTGGTTTTTGTTTAAATAAATAAAGGACTCCTTGGGTGGTACAAACAGTTAACTTGCTCTGCTGCTAACTGAAAAGTTGACGGTTTGAGTCCCCCCGAGACAGCTCAAAAGAAAGATCTGATGATCTACTTCCAAAAAATCAGCCTATAAAAACAAACAAATAAAATTTTTAAAAAAGCAGTTCTACTATGACACACATGGGATCAGCAAGTCAGAGTCGACTTGATGCCAACTGGTTTTTAAAGAAACAAACTGACTTCAGGTTTGGTTCTTTAATTGTGGTCAGATAACCATGTCCTGTTTGTTATTCAGCAGCACCTCACCCCTCAGTATAGGAGTCAGCTTCCAGAGGGTGAGAAGTAAACATGGAGGCCTAGGATGTGACTCTTGACAGGCAGCCTAACCAGGGCAGAGTAGAGGAAATGGTATTACACTGTCCATCCAAGAAACAAAACAAAACAAAAATCACTGTCTTACCTGTAAAGGAAAAGGTGTTACTGCCCCACTTTTCTTTACCATAAAATAAATTGTTTCGTTTTCATATTTTTTATCTTATCGGAGGAACTAGCACAATGCCATCACCATACATCATAGAGCCCAAGCAGTTTAAAAAAACAGGGAGGAGTGACTAAGTTCCCATCTATATTGTCATGTGTAGCCTCTCAGGGCAGCTGCCCTCCAGGAGGACCAATTAAAAATAGTTGCCATCAAGTTGATTCGGACTCACAGTGATCCTATGAGTGCCAAAACAGAACTGTGCTCCGTAAGGTTTTCAATGGCTGATTTTTCAAAAGCAGATCACTAAGTCTTTCTTTTGAGACACCTCTGGGTAGACTTGAACCTCTAGTTTTTGGTTAGCAGCCAAATGCATTAAAGGTTTACACCACACAGGTACTCCCCCCAAGAGGGCAAGAGCCTCAATGTTATGTTCCTCTAGGTTTTTTAAAAGACCCATGCTGCTTTTTGATAAATATTCTCTACTCCTTTCTTCCTCGTTATAATGATTGATATATCTATCAGATTGTTAAAAGTGTTTCACATAGTGGTAACTTTTCAAAACAAATACTAAAAATGTATTTTAATATAATACATTTTAAACTATCATTTTCCTCACTTTTTATGAGAGCAAGCCCATTAATTAATAGCTAAAATCTCTTTTAAGAGTATCTAACTTATTTGGCTTTACCTCAATGAACTCTTAATTATTTGTATATCCAATTTGTATACTATATTTGTGTCCTCATTTTCATGCTTCTTGAATATTGACCATTTGGTTGCTCATTAACAGCTACTCATAAATAAAATAAGGGGATGAAAAGAAGCTCAAAGTATTTAATCATTCTATAATAGTTCCCACAAGCAATTTAAATAGTTTTAGGTGTTGCCCATAAACTCTGAGTAATAATTGTATGTTATTAGTAACTTCAATGCCTATTTCTTTACACAGTCAAGAGATAACCATATATAGCATTTAAATCTGTTTTCATTTTCCTGCTACTAATACCTTTCCTAAAATAATAAATTGACGTTTTTGTACAATTCTCAATGTTCATAGAAATCTAGTTATGTGCAGCTCAAAACTCATGCTCTTTGACAGCAGTTATATGTAGAACGCTTATGTATAAAGTAGAAGATGCCTTCTCTAAAGATAACTGTGGAGGGTCAGCATTGATATCTGCACTGTGGGTCAGTAGAAGGATTCCTAAATTTTTGTTTTTGTGTTTGGGAAAAGTCTATCTTCCTTTTAATATTTGCATTCTGAATAGCCATAACTTTTCACTTTGTATCTCACTCTAGTGAAGACTAGGTGTATGTAGAAAGCTGCTGTTTCCTCTTGGGAACTTTAATTAGGTGATATGGAGCTTCTTACCTGCTGAAAAAACTATCAACTAATAGCCATATGTATCTACTTCATTCAATAACAGAAACAGAATAAAATGCACTAAAAGAAGTTTGGGAGCTCTGGTAGCATAGTGCCTAAAGCACTTGACTGCTAACCAGAAGGCTGGTGGTTCAAACCCACAAGCCACTCCTCAAAAGGAAGGTTGGGCAATTCACTTCCATAGTGATACCACCTCAGAAACCCAAGGAGGGGTTGCTATGAGTTGGGTCCCACTCAATGGCACATAACAACAGCAACAACAAAGGAAAAATTAAAAAAAAAAAGCAATGAACAACCATTGTCTTAATTTAAAGTTGAGAGAAGAAATAAATGAATTTAAGCTTCAGGGAAATGGATTTGATAGGTGAGGAGAGTATATCCGGGAACGTGTCTTATCTTGTTCTCTTTTTGAAGAGGTTTCTTGACTATGTTTTTAATCCTCTATGTGTCTTGCATTTAATCTGAACTAAAAGATGATTAAATTTTTAATCAAGATTTACTAGTCAACATTAGCTTTAATGTTAACTTCAAAGTACCTTATCTCACAAAGATCCCATGTAGGATGAATGGACCTGAAGGCAGTGCTGATTCAGTGGTGGAATTCTTTCCTTTCCTGTGGGAGACCCATGTTCTGTTCCTACCCAATGCACCTCATGCACAGCCACCACCCTCTGTCAGTGGAGACTTGAATATTGCTATGATGCTGAACATGTTTCAGTGGATCTTCCAGACTAAAATGGACTAGGAAGAAAAGCCTAATATCTACTTTGGTCTGAAGTAGTTAACAATAGGATGTATAGGCAGGTCTGGCGAAGAAAAGTAAATAATGAGAAATCACTTTGTTCTTGCCTTTCTCACTAGCAGCATAATAACTAAATTCAGCATCTTTGCCTGTAAATTGGAGAGCTTTGCTCAGATTACATTGTGGAAATGCCTCCAGATCCAGATAGAGGCACAGTGCTTCTTCTGGACATGACACTCCCGTCCAGTGGGGAGGTGAGTGCCCTTTGAGAGGAGCCAAGGACACAATGCAGTGCAAGCTGATACCTCCTTCCCTTCTTGACTCATTTTTATGTTCCAGTCACTGTGGCTACAGCACAGCCCAGAGGACTGTCCTCCTGGCCAGAGGGTCAGGTTACTTTAGAGGTGCACAGCCATTTAAAAATATTGTTCTCTGAGATGGAACCAAGATAGAATATAGTTAGCCTCCAGCATTAAGAAGGCAGTTTCTATCTGCTTAGAAATCTGTTGGCTAACAAGAGTTTTACTGATTCATCTCAGGATTGTCAGAGAATAATAGTAATGTTTGCAGTAGCAATGATTATCGAAACCCTAAACTGTCACACCAGCTCTCTCTCTAACACATCTTTGAAGGAAAAAAAAAAATAGTCTATTTATTTTGACCCTGTATCCATTTTTCTTCATATCATCTTGAAAAGTTAATCTTCCTTTTCACTTTTAATAGTGAGCTGGACTATCATGATGCTGTGAATATTAATGATCGGTGCCAGAAGATTTGCGACCAGTGGGACAGATTGGGAACGCTTACTCAGAAGAGAAGAGAAGCCCTGGAGGTGAAGACTTCAAGGCGCCATGAAATCTTTTAATAGAGGCTCTTTAATTAAGTCACTGTTATTATTTTTATGTTGTTATATAGTATTATGTATCTAAAACTAAACAGATTGTCTAGTGAAAGGAGATTCTAAAGAAAATACAAAAAAGTAAGGAAAAGGAAAGTTGGTAGCTTTGTGCTATAGTATATCCTTACAACAGTGAAGCATACTTTTGATTTTGAAAATTCCAAAAGATAATAAGAGTATGGTATAAACCTATTTTGTATCATAAAATGAGTTTCTAAAAGTCCTTCTTTAAGAGCAAACTGAACTGTCACTGAGTCAGGAAGTCAGAAAAAGCCTAACTTTAGATGTGCAAGGGAAAATGCAATGTTATAGTAAGGAAAAGTTGGTATGAAACAGACTGAATTTGGCTTTATCCAATTGTAATACTTTGATTAATAGGAGTAAGTAAAAAAAAAAAAAAAATCAGTTGCCACCAAGTCAACTCTGACTCAGGCCAACTCTGTGTATCACAGCAGACTATATTCCACAGGGTTCTCAATGGCTGAATTTTCAGGAGGCCTTTCTTCCAAGGCACATCTGGGTGGGCTCGAACCTCTAACTTCTCAATTAGCAGTCAAGTATGCACTTTTGCACCACCAACCGTAAGTAAGTAGTAACTAGTATTTAACTGTAGCTAATCATCTTTCATCACTGAAGACTCATACTACATGAAAGAAAGGAGCAGTTACTAGCTTTCTGAGTCTTTTCACTTTGACTCTGAGGAAGCTTTTAAAAATCAGTGAAATCAGCCTTCCTCAATTCCAAATGGCTGTTACATATCCACTTAATAAATGTTGAGAGAATGACTGACTGTTATTAAGGAAGACTTTTCTATGATCCCACAAAATGTGGAAATTATCAAACAATATCATTAATATCACATGCAAGTAAAATCTTACTGAATATAATTCAAAAATGGTTGCAGCAGTATATTGACAGAGAACTTCCAGAAATGCAAGCTGGATTCAGAAGAGGACATGGAACAAGGGATATCATTGCTGATGTCAGATGGATCTTGTCTCAAGGCAAAGAATACCAGAAAGATGTTTACTTGTGTTTTATTGACTATGCAAAAGCATTTGATTGTGTGGATCTTAACAAATTGTGGATAACACTGAGAAGAACAGGAATTCCAGAACACTTAATTGTACTCATAAGGAACTTGTACATAGACCAGGAGGCTGTCATTCAAACAGAACAAGGGAACACTGCATGGTTTAAAATCAAGAAGGGAGTGTGTCAGGGTTATATCCTTTCCCATACTTAGTCAATCTGTATGCTGAGCAAATAATCTGAGAAGCTGGACTATATGGAACATGGCATCAGAATTGGAGGAAGACTTATTCAACCTGCAGTATGCTGACGACACAACTTTGCTTGCTGAGAGTGAGGATGGCTTGAAGCACTTACTGATGAAGATTGAAGAATACAGTCTGCAGTATGGATTACATATCAATATAAAGAAAACAAAAATCCTCACAACTGGACCTATAAGCAGCATCATGATAAATGGAGAAAAGATTGAAGTTGTCAAAGACTTCATATTGCTTGGTTCCATAATCAACGCCAATGGAAGCAGCAGTCAGGACATCAGACGACTTGTAGCACTGGGCAAATCAGCTGCAAAAAAACCTCTTTCAAGTGCTGAGGAGCAAGGATGTCTCCTTGAGGAATATGGTGTGCCTGACACAAGCCATGGTATTTTCAATCTCCTCATATGCATGTGAGAGCTGGACAATGAATAAGGAAGACTGAGGAAGAGTTGATGCTTTTGAGTTGTGGTGTTGGCAAAGAATGCTGAAAGTATCATGGACTGCTAAAAGAACTAACAGGTCTGTCATGGAGGAAGTGCAGCTGGAATGGTCCTTGGGAGCAAGAATGGCCAGACTTTGTCTCACACACTTTGGTCATGTTGCTAGAAGGGACCATTCATTGGAGAAGGATGTCATGCTCAGTAAGGTGAATGGTCAACAAAAGAGGGGAAGGCCCTCAATGAGGTGGATTGACACGGTGGCAGCAGTGATGGGCTCAAGTATAGCAAGGATCATGGAGCTAGTGCAGGACTGGGTGGTGTTTCATTCTGCTGTGCATAAGGTGTCTATGAGTGAGAGATGACTTGATGGCCCCTAACAACAGCAAGGAAGACTTTTAGAACTAAATGCCCTTTCTGCTCCCCATTATCTGGGCCATTTGAAAGAAGTACAGTATTATTCTCTATCGTTTAAAGCCTTCTGGTCTCATGTGCACAGGTAAGCAAGAAAGAATCTCTTGTCAAATCATGAATGAGAATCTGAGAACATTATATTGTATTTTCTTTGGTCTTCACTAGGGCGGTGGTGTTGTCAAAGGCACACTGCACACTGGCGACTAGAAAATGAGAAAGATACTCTAAATTTTTGGTTAGCAGTACTAGTTGCCATGGAGTTGATTACAGCTCACAGAGACCCCATATGTCTCAGAGTAGAACTGTGCTCCATAGGATTTTCTTTTCTTTTTATTTTCAATTTTTATTTATTTACTTTTTTTATTGTGGTGAAAATACATGCACCAAAACATTTGCCAATATGATAGTTTCTGCATTTACAATTCAGTTACATTGATTATTGTGTTAGGCTGGGTTCTCTAGAGAAGCAAAACCAGTAAAGCTTATAGAGAGAGAGAAAAAGAGAAATTTATCTTAAGAAAATGGCTCACAGACTTATAGTAGCTGCAAAGTCCTAAGTTCTTGGATCAAATGTTAAGCTGGAGGCTTTTCCCAACTCACACAGCTGCAGGGGCTGACAAGCTCAAAGTTGGCAGGCAGTATGCTGGCTGTTGACTCCAACGAATGACGAATCCAAGATCTCCAGGCTGAATGGTGGATTGTTTGCTCACAGACACTTGTAGGCAGCACAACAGGATCCCAATGCACAGAAGTGTGTCTCTTTTTCCCAAGATGTCCATAAATATATTGGAAGCAGGCCCTAGGGAAACTCCCTTTCAATGGATTGGCTGCTCAAAACATATACATCTGATCTCATCATGAGATAACCCACATCACAACTGCTTAAACCACTCAGAATTGTGGTCCAGCCAAATGGACACATAACTCCAACTATCACAATTACATTCTTCACGTTGTACATCCATGGTTACTATTCATAGGGTTTTCAGTGGCTGATTTTTCAGAAGTAGGTCAGTTGCTAGGCCTTTCTTCCCAGAAGCCTCTGGGTGGATGTGAACCAGTTCCAACCTGTTAGTTAGCAGTTGGGCATGTTAACTCTTGGCACCACCCAAGAACTCCACATTTTCTGTTATCCTATCATTCATAAAGTACAACTTTACATGAAAGCAAGTTCCTATATACTATATGTGGGTTCTCAGGTTTTTTTTTTTTTTTTTTTTAAGTATATAGTAGCATGTAATAGAATGCTTTAGGTCCCTGTGTAGGGCAAATGGTTAGTACTCAACCACTGACCTAATAGTTGGCCATACAAATCCACCCAGCAGTACCATGGTGGAAAGGCCTGGTGATCTGCTTCCATAAAGATTATAGCAAAAAATTCCTATAGAGCTCACTTCTACTCTGTAACACAGGGAGTCATATAAGTCAGAATTAACTGCTTTTGTTCTTACTAGAGTAATTTAAGTACTTTAAAACTGTGCTTGTGTTATTATTAAATCCTCCATGATTCAGAAGGTACATGCAAGAACTGCAGGGCATCAGTCTAATCATTTGAGCATTTGTTAATCTTTTTTATACACGTGCCAATCATAGGAAAGTTATGATTAACAAAATGTTAGATAATAGCTTACTGTTCTGGAATACTTATTTGAATTTTTGAATAATTTTTTATTATTTATACTGTGATAATGATTGCTTCCATTTAACTAATCTTCAGAGAACTGAAAAATTGCTAGAAACCATTGATCAGCTGCATCTGGAGTTTGCCAAGAGAGCTGCTCCCTTCAATAATTGGATGGAGGGTGCAATGGAGGATCTGCAAGACATGTTTATTGTCCACAGCATTGAGGAAATCCAGGTAACTGAATGCCAGCTTTGTATTCATACTGCATTGGAAAGGAATTTTAGTTTAAATCTGAAGTTCTGTTTTATTTGCTTTCTACTAAGAAAAATGTGGCTAGAAAGCCCAAATTAACCTTTGCACCTTAGTTTAAAAAATGTGTTAACTACTATTGCAACACCTAAAGTGAGCATTAACTTCTCACTTGAGCGTAAGCCACATGGTAGTGAGGTGTTCCTACAGGTGAACTTAAGGGGCTGCGCTCTTAAACACTAAGGCCATAGTATAGCTTTGATAAATGTAGGTTTTATAGAGCCTTACAGGAAAGAGTAGGTTTCCATGGCCTTTTCTTTTTGAAGACTAGGATGAGCTCCCTTGCTGTCTTTATGTATAAAGGCAGCAAATGATCTTGTTATAGGACTACAAATGTGAAACTGGTAATAAGGAAGAGCAGCTAAGTTGAGTTCTGTTTGTTAGGGAGTTATACAATGCATTGAGTTGATTCCGACTCACAGTGACCCTTTAAGACAGGATAGAACTGCACCATACTGTTTCCAAGGCTGTGAATCTTTAGGGAAGCAGACTACCACATCTTCTCCCAATGGAACAGCCAGTGAGCTCTAACCATTGACCTTTCAGTTAGCAGCTGAGTGCTTTACCACTGCACTACCAGGCCTCCTTGTTAGTGGAGAGTAAGAGGTAAACAATAGTTGGAGACCAGAAATTATGTAAGCAAACCTTTAAAAAAAGGAATTATTTTTTGAAGACTATAGATTAATGTCTATTACTTAAATGGATATCAGACTGTTGAATAGTCATCATGATATCTTTTTCCCATTTCCAAGGAACTTGACTTCTTTGAGCACGAGATTACTTTTCTAAAACATCCAGCATATATTCCTCCAGAGATTTCTGAAAGTATATTGATAGGTGTGCAGAGGGAAATATGGAAGCCTATTAAATGAACACTAAAGCATGATCCAGTTTTCTTGGCATGTTTTTTTGGTTTAGAGTCTGATCACTGCCCACGAGCAGTTCAAGGCAACATTGCCAGAGGCAGATGGAGAGAGGCAGTCCATTTCAGCTATCCAGAATGAGGTGGAGAAGGTGATCCAAAGCTATAACATCCGAATCAGCTCAAGCAACCCATACAGCACTGTTACCATGGACGAACTCCGGGCCAAGTGGGACAAGGTGGGCACTTTGAGGATTGTGTGTATTATATATAACACAGTATTTGCCAATTCAACATTTTTTACGTGTACAATTCAGTGACACCAATTACATTACAGGCAAGACAATTGACATACTATAAACAAGTTCCTTTTCTGAGTCTGTCTTTAAGTTAAATTTGTATGTAAGTCAGAACAGTTAAATATGATTTGTCAAATGCCAGTTAGTCAAATGTATATCTTAGTGTATAGTGTGCCTTTCTATGCAAAAAAAAATTAAAGAAATACTTCCAGATACATTAAAACATCTTTAACATAATAATACAGTAATAATAATAATGCTTTGATGCACTACAAAATAGCACCTATTTTGTTATTACAAACTATATTATGTACCTTGAATTTTAAATATAATAGACTTCATGGAGATTGGTTTGTAACCATGGGTGGTATGAACGTCAGACACTCATAACCTGGGGACTGCCTGTAATCATATTATGCAGCCATCACCAATATCCTTAGCCATGTTTTCCATCACCATAAACATATAGTCAGTGCTTCCTAAACAATGACACTTACCATGGGGTATTCCTTAAAGCCTACATTGAGAGAGGAAATTAGAATCTTGAGGAATTAGAGTGGCTAACTAATTCTGCAATCACAATCAGGATTTTTACTTATCCCCAACTTACATCTCATTTCACAGATGAAATATGTTGCCAGTCAGCAGCTTGTGCAGTTTGTGGGAAAAGAAAGTAGAGATTATGTTCCTTAAGGAAGAAGACCTTATAAAGGTTTATTACCTGTCTAGTACAGTTTATGATAATAATACTATAACCAAACCAAACTCACTGCCATCAAACTGAATGTGACTCATCACAACCCTTCCTTGGGTTTCCGAGGCACTATCACTACAGAAGTAGATTGCCCAACCTTTCTTCCAAGGAGCGATTGGTGGGTTTGAACTGCTATAAAGGAAACTATTTTAAAAATCCCCACTGAAAATTTGGTGGAATTGCCTTGCCTATAGTGTTTCATTAAAGAATGTTCAGTATATGGAGTGAACAATTTGCTAAATGTATGTGCATTTTAAATGTAGAAAAAAATGATTAGGAAATATACTTTTATCTGGGGAGCTGAAGTATTCCTGGTAATTTGTCACTTTCTAAGTTTTGAGAAACTGCCCACAAATATTAATAGTCAAAATGGATCATTTAAGCCTTTTTATCTCATTCTTAAAAGAAATTTATTTTTATGCATAGAAACAAACCAAACCAAACTCACTGCCAATGAATTGATTATGATTCATAGCAACTCCTGTTGCATTTCCAAAGTTGTAAATCTTTATGGAATTGGATCGCCCCATCTTCCTTCTACAGAAGAATTGGTGGGTTTGAACTGCTGACGTTCTGGTTAGTAGCCAAATGCCTTATCCACTATGCCACCAGAGCCCTTTATCTTCATGCAGAGTGTTTGTAAATTTCAATTGTTGTTGTTGTTGTTGTTATGTGCCGTCGAGTTGGACCCAACTCATAGCGACCCCACCTTGGGTTTCTGAGGCAGTATCACTACGGAAGTAGGATTGCCCAACCTTCCTTCCAAGGAGTGGCTGGTGGGTTTGAACCGCCAGCCTTCTGGTTAGCAGTCAAGTGCCTTAGGCACTATGCTACCAGAGCTCCCAAATTTCAATTAGAGACAGTGAAAGATGTCATTTCCTCGTCATTCACATTCACAAACACTCTGCACTCAGGACCCAGCCCCCCTGAGATGAGTTCTGCAGGCTCTTACATACCTCTTCCAGCAGACACTAGGTGGCACTAAGTGGAAGCCAATGCTCAATTGGGCTCCATTGAGGTCTCCCTCTAATCTGTACAGTAGGGACACTTGGTGAAGTTTCTTTTCTATTTTTATTGTTTTCTTTATTATTTTTGCATTTTTCCCTCCCCTCCTCTCCTAACCCTGGTAACCAACAAAGAAAGTTCCTTTCCATGTGTAAACCTTTCCTAACCCTGGTAACCAACAAAGAAAGTTCCTTTCCATGTGTAAACCTTTCCTTGACTTTTTACAATAATGAACTAATACAATATTTGTCCTTCTATGTTTGACTTATTTCACTCATCATAATGTCTTCCAGGAGCTCTGGTGGTGTAGTGCCTAAGGCATTTGACTGCAAACCAGAAAGATGGCAGTTCAAACCCACCAACCACTCCTCATAAGGAAGACTGGGCAATCTACTTCCATAGAGATACTGCCTCCGAAACCCAAGGAGGAGTCACTATGAGTCAAAATCGACTCAACGGCAGTGAGATTAGTTTTTTCAAGTTCATCCATGTTATGCAGTGTTTTGTATATTCTACATTATTCCTTAATGTTGCATAGTATTCCATTGTGTGTATGTACCAGTTTGCTTATCCATTCTTCTGTTGATGGGCACCTAGGTTGTTTCTAAATTTTTGCTATTGCAAATAGTGCTGTGATGAATATGGGTGCACATATATCTGTTTTTGTCCTGGCTCTCAGTTCTTTAGGCTATGTAACTAGTAATGGGATTGCTGGATCAAATGCTATTTCTAATTCCAACTTTTTAAGGAATTGCCATACTGCTTTCCACAGTGGTTGTATCATTTTATAGTCCCACCAGAGGTGTATGAGAGTCTCTCCACATCCTCACCAGCATTTGTTATTTTCTTCCTTGTTGAACTTTGCTATTAGTGCTGGGGCAAGATGGTATCTCACTGTTGGTTTGATTTGCATCTCTCTAATGGTTAATGGTCGTGAACATTTCTTCATGTGTTTGTTGGCCACTTGAATATCTTCTTTGATGAAGTGTTTATTCATATCTTCTGCCCATTTTTTAATTGGATTGTTTGTCTTTTTGTTGTTTAGGTGTTAGAATTCCCTATAAATTTTAGGGATAAGACCCTTGTCTGATATGTCATTCCTGAATATTTTTTCCCAATCTGTAGGTTCTCTTTTGACTTTTTTGGAGAAGTCTTTGGAAGCACATAAAAATTTAATTTTTAGGCTTCTGATAAGATGGTGGAATAGGCAGACAAGCTACACAGACCCTCTTCAATAAAGAAGAGAAACCAATTGACACAGATACACATGATAATCCTGGAGCTCTAAGCTTTGAAAGGAAGGATGCAGAAGTGGATTAAACACAAACTAGTAGAAGATCCTGAATGAAACCGGTGAATAAGGAGATGAATGGAGCTGTGGACTGTCAGGTATCCTAATGGCACGGACAGTTTGAATATTTCCAAGTGGTGTTAGGACCTGAGATTTAAGCTGAAAATCAGCCATGCTCACCAAGGGCTGGATGGATGACTACACTGGTGACTGATGACTAAAAAGGGAAACAACAAAGAATGAGACAAACTGAGCTGTGGACTTTTGGCTATCTAGAGGGCACAGTCACTTTGAATATTCACATGTGGTGGTTATTTTGGATATTTAAAGTGAGAGCATTCACATTCAGGTTCCAGGGACCACAGAATTGGCTCCACTTGCCGAGGACAGCATGGACGTACAGGAGGCTGATGACTGGAAAGGATATAGGTAGTGAGTTCATAAGGGCTAACAACCTGTAAATAGAAGCACAGTACACTGCTTACTCAGATATATCAATACAAAACAGAGAAAATTAAAATCTTGGGTGAATCATTCCAACATACAATCACCAACTCAATATAAATGTAACAATGTCACAATTTTGTGGAGACAACAGACTATCACAGTACACACAAATAAGCAAGATAAAGTAGTAGAAACAAGGGACCAGGATATAGAAACCGAACACATCCCTGGAAGAAGCATCATTGGACTCTATGCTGAGGAATTCAAAATAATTATATTTAGGTACCTTCAAAGGAATTGGGAGACAGATCAATGAAAACATTGACAAAATTAAGGAATACAGGGACAAAACCCTGGAATAATTTGGGAAGACAATACAAGAACAAAATGACAAAATAAATAAAAAATTAGAAATGATACAAAATCTACAGGTAGAAATCCAGAAGATTAATACTAAATTTTCAGAAATAAATAGCACATTGAATGGACACAGGAGTAGAATCAAATCAATGGAAGACAGAATCAATGAGATTGAAGACAAATGCTTGAATACTTCTTTGGAAAGGGATCAGTCAGAACAAGGATCAAAACAAAATGAAGAAATCCTAAGATTCTGTGGGGTACCACCAAGAGGAATAATCTACATGCAATCAGAATACCGGAGCAGGAAGACACAAATAATACCACAGAGAAAATTGTCGAAGATTTATTGGAAGACAATTTCCATGATATGGTGAAAGAGAAGAAGTCCAACAAACCCCAAACAGAATAGAAACCAAAAGAAAATCACCAAGACATATCATCATCAAACTCACCAAAACCAAAGACAAAGAAAGAATCCTGAAAGGAGCATGTGAAAAATGAAAAGTTACCTACAAAGAGCAACCAATAAGACTAAGCTCTGACTTCTCTGCAGAAACCATGCAGGCAAGAAAGCAATGGGATTGTAGATATAAAATCTTGAAAGAAAAAAATTTCCAATCAAGAGTTGTATACCCAGCAAAATTGTACCATCAAATATGATGGTGAAATTAGGACATTTCCAGACACACAGAAATTAAGGGAATTTGTTAAAACCAAATAAACCTTATAAGAGATACTGAAGGGAATCCTTTGGACAGAGAACCAACAACAGCAAACAACAGCCAACTATTAACACATATGATGGCATAACCCAGAAACCAACCCAGTTATGGAAGTATTCAAAGTAAAATAAGCTTACAAGATTGTAAACAGGGAAGCAGAGACATCAATGGGCAAATGAGGACAACTAAAAAACAAAAAGAGGAAAATAATAGTGTAGTTACAGAACTTCTAAATGGTGAAGAAGTCAAGATAATTGCAAGATAGAATGGACTGTTCTAAACTTGGGAAGAAAATTATAAATCACAGGGTAACCTCCAAGAAAAATGATAAATCTTCACATCAAAATGAAAAAGAGGA